AATTGTTGAGAAAAATCCAGTTAGCATTGCTTTAGAGCGCATACTATTCACCGTAACGGCAGCTTATTCTTTATTTTGAAAGAAATTAGGATCAATGATGCTGTCATTGATGTTGAGGATCATCTTCGCTCCATATACGGCAGTTTTACATATTGACGTAGCCGATTGACGAAGTGCTCTACGAACTTCGCGAACAGATTTATTTTCTTCAAAGTAAATTTCCAGTTAAACGATCCATGATGAATTGCCAAACCTTACCGAACAGAAATGTCGACACATAGTTATCGATATGCATAGTTCTCATGCAGCTAAAAAAACACTCTACATGATATTTTATTCAGGATCCCTATTTATTCACAGAGTCCCCTATTAGAAGTTAACACAAAATTGAAACAAATTCTTTGAATATTTAAGTACTTTATTGAAATTGATATATCGAAAAAATTTAAAGAAAAGTTTTGTTTGGTACAGTATATTTTCAAGTAATCGCTTATATGGAGTTTTATTATATATATTTAATTTCTGAAAATGTATTCATTGTTTTTACATTGTGCTATATCTGTTTTGTTGTGCAAGCAATGTGATTTTAAATATATTTTCTAAATTATTTTAAAATAAATATTTTTGTTTGTTTTTAATATTAAAATTTATGTTAATACAAATATTGAGAAAATTGTTTCAATCTTTTGAATTTATTACAAAAAAAATATTTAAAAAATTTTTATAATTATATATTTACCGTAAATAAATTCGAATTGGTTTGCATTGTAACCAATCCATACTATATATAATAAATGTAAGCTTAACTTTAAGACACGTGATTTAAGAATGCAGTAATGGACATGATGTATACATGCTTTTATGTTGTACAAGTCTTTAAATATTTGATTAAAAATGGGTTAATAGCTTTCCAAAAAGATATTATGGAGTTCTCTTAATATATGAACATATAGACGTATTGATACATGTTTATATATATACGTATATTTAAATAAATAAATGCAGGACAGAAAAATCTGTACATTCTTTTACAAAAAAAAAGTAATTAAGGAAGATATAATATAAAGATTAAAAGATATAATATAGAGCCGTTCTATCCTCAGGGGAAAATGGAGGATTGGTCTAGAGCGCAAGTTTTTGTAATTGGGAATTATTATTTGCATTATATATATGAAGAGCATTTTCACACTAACAATGTTATAAAAAAAATAAACGTTGTTTTATTACTTTTTATATTAAACGTCCAATTTAACGAATGATTTCTTAAATAATCCAATCCATCAATCCAATGAAATGAATAAATAAGAATATATAGAGTTTAAGAGTACACACATGATTTCTATTGATTTTTCACGTGCCACCTTTTCGTAGGTCTTGAAATATCATGATTATGATGTAAAATGTATAATATATTATAGGTATAGAAACTTTGATTATTCCTCAATATAGTTTTCGAGGTCTTATTACACCGAGGAATTCTTATCGGTTGAAATTTTTTTTATTATTTATTGATCAATTTATGAACAAATTTGTCTAAAAATAACATATGTATATTAATCTAAACAAGATTTAACAGCAATGCTGTCTAGCTTATTAATTTATGGGATAAATATAAATGTTAATTCAGAAAACCCCTTACAGTACTAAGAACAGGTATTGTCAAGACGATCAGGAACCATAGAAAATTTATAAAGAATGAATGTGTATAGATATTTTACGTATAATAATCACTCAATCCAATAACTATACAAATTATGCGTTCGTCATATAAAATAATCATCCACACTCAGAAAAATAATTTAGTTGATTTAAATAGATTTTAACTAAATCTTAGGTCAATATATTCTTACTCGGCGCATCATGTTGATTCAACCACACCACATATTGGTTTTCATATCTTCTTCACCACATGAGATAAAATTACTCTAACAAAATGATCAGGTGAATTTAACTAGTATGTGGTTAGAGTATATTTTTCTGAATGCAGCAGTCAGCTGAATGCATAAATAGCGCTCTAAAGAAGCAATAAAAAACCTTAAATCCTTATATATAGCACAATTTTGACACTGTCATGCCATTGAAAGTGAGTGCTTTGCACTTACTAAATTCAGATCGTATTTAATGTGCTTTAAAACAGAACTTTCAGTAAATTTTACAAGGTTTGTGCATCTGAAGTGCTAATTTAATGCACATTTAAAGCACATTTTGACAAAGACAGTGGTACGCTTCATTAGCGCATCAAATCAATCTGCTAATGATGACAGAACATTGTAGCTTGTTGAATTGGATATTCGTTAAATTGACTATATGTTTATTGGACATCTACTGTATTTCTATTTTTACTGTAAATATTGTGGGAGAGAAAATTAAAAGATAAATATTAGAATATATATTAAAAGATAAAGTAGGTCTAGAATATTTCACTAGGTCTAAATGCGCGCGCAGATATATATTCATTGCCCCACTTTTTGCACACAATAATATAATAATATTATTATTATTATTATTATTTTATGTTGATTAATTTCACACTTTTGTCTTAAGTTCCAGAGAAGTGATAGTTAGTGGATTTCAATATTAAAAAAAGCAGAAGAGTTTGGCACAAAATAAAGGTGGATAATACTAAATTAAATTGTTGAACTTTTTATGCATATTTTAATGGAACAAGAAGTCCTACATTTATGTTATATAAAATTGATATTTTAAGAATTCTATATATGTATTTTGACATTGCGAAGAAAGCCCTTATATATGATATACTAATTGCTGTAAATCAATTCGACGAATGTCAACTAAATATCAAAGGATTTCTACATTTAATGTATACTACCGAAAGTTATGTTGAGCTATTATACATATGGCGACAAAGATAAAGATCGAGAATGCATGAGTGATCACATATCTTACAAAGAGACATGATATGCAGGTGATCAATTGTCGATGATTGTTGGTAGTCATATTCTTTGTTGCTTTAACTATATCTGAATAAATTGTCTGAAGTATTGAAAGCAACAACAGATGTGGTCAACGACTTGATCGATTTGATCAACTGCGTAAGATGGCCCAAAAGTATAAATTTTAAAAGAACGCTCAATACATGAAAACTTATAGAGGCACAGGGAGAACATTGGAAATATCTATTAGTTATTATTAAGAATTCACATAAAGAAAGAAAAAATCTTATGGCCAATTTAAATTATACTAAGGCGATGCGGAATATATATAAATATAAATTTACAGTTTCTGCTATAAACACTATTCCAAATCACCAGAATATATTTAGAATGGCCTTAGGTACAACATAATAATTTAATGAAATATGTTTATATTTCTTTTTTTGGTTTTTTCATAAATGAAAAAAATGCTTATAAATTTTACATTAAATATGAAAAATATAAAATTTTTATTAATAATGTCACAGTTTTGTATTTCTTTTATTCTAAAGTAGCGATTCAGCGAATTTATTTAGTAATTTTAATTTATAACTAATTTCTTTTTTGTTTTGATATAAATTTAAAATATGTTAAGTTTATAGACTAGAGATTAAGGTATTTATATACGTATATATAAGTATAAATAAAAAAAAGCTATATACATATAATATATATTAATTAAATTAGTTCATATAATTTTCTTTCATTATAATATAAAGTCTTTTTTATTAGTTGTTTTCGGTATGGGTATATTCTTAGTATTTTTCAATTTCTTTTTTTTTTTTTAATATTTTTTTATTAGTGCAAAAATATTTAAATTAATTTATGTTTTTAAGAGCCGTCATTATTTGTAGATATCAATTAGAAAGAACTCAGTACAAGCAGCTTAAATTGTTAAATAAATAAATTATATTTATATCAGTATATGCAATGTATTTTTATTATTATATATATTTTACAAATTTCTTCGAAAGAAAACAATATTCTTTTCAAAAAAAAAAAAAAAAAAAAAAAAATTAGGTAGCTTACCGCCACACTTTGTGAACCGTAAAGGTCAGCAAGAAGAAGAATCGGAGCACCTTGCTTCAAAGGTCGATTGTAAGAGAACGGTGCATAATAGATGAAAAATTTTAAAAACCGAAAAAAATAAGTACATAAATGTAAAAAAATTTGGAAATACTGACAAATATTTTTGAAAAAAAATTAACTTAAATCACTATAACTTTAATTTTGAAAAGTTAAGTGAGTTAAGCTTTGGTGTTAGTATTATTTGATTGACTGTATTTTTTTTAGATAGATTGCTCTTCAACTCATCAGTTCTTCAGTTTTCATCAGTTATACCAAAGAATCACAGCTTACATTTACCTTAAGTAATTCCATATGAAAAAGTCTTTCAATTCTTATCTTGCAAGCATCTTCCATCAATTATATTATAAATTCCTGTTACTTTAACCGTCGAAAACTATTATTTTCTCAAGGTGTTAAGACAGCTGGTATTATACTATCTTTTGTTAACTACACAATTCTTGTCAGTATTTCAATAATTGTGTTTAATACTATTAATAAAATTAAATAATAATTAAATTAAATATTTATCAAATTAAAAATTTTAAAAATGCATAATTTAATATTATGCGAAGAAACATAGTAATTGCAAACATTTCATTGACAAACTGATCATTTTTATCATTTGCGTTATTATATTTTCAATGTATAGTAAATTTATTCATTGTGTTTGATATATATTATTAACATATTTCATTTTATCATTTTTATGTCTAATAAATTTTAAATATATAAATAAATTTTTAAATTTATTTTAAAATTTCTGTAGATATAATTTATTTATATATGAAAATTGTTACAAAAGAGTTTTGGTTTTTATTCTCATTTTTTTTTAATTATAAAAGATAATGGTCGCCATGAGTATATAGGTTTCTTATTGAAATACATATATATATATGTATATATATTTTTTAAAGTTTATAAACTTATAAATACTTTTTTGTGATTTTCTTATTATTATTATTATATTTAGTAAAATCTTATTAAATTTTAAATATTAAATTAAATTTGTGTAATATTGATTGTTACGGATTCTCTGCTTAAAAGCTGCTTAGTATCATTTTCTATTTCAATAGGCGAAATACCGGCACTACGATCATTTAGATATGAATTATCTTCCTCGACAATTTTTTCAAGTATTATATCACCGGAATTATTTAAACCTGTAAAAAATATGTACACATATATATTATAACAGATTAAAAATTAAAAAATAAATAAAATAATATTATAAATTAGATCAAACCTTTAAAGATATAGGTTTTATTATAAAAATAATTAGTTGCGATTATTTATAAAAATACTTAAAATCAATGAAGAACTCTGAAGGCAAACTAACCAAACGTCTATTAACGTTGAAATTCAAAAGGGAAAATATGAATGGATAGGCTATACACTGCGTAAGCCTTATGACGAAAGATGAGAGTCAGAAGCTGTGACAGGTAGCTATGAAGTTAATATCTGAACAGATAGTTTAAAGCTAAAAAAAGGCAGCTATAAAGTTAATAGTTACTCGTAAGGTATCCAGATATAGTAGTCATGTCATCACTGTGATACTTTCAGTGTTACTCTAGTTAAGATATACTCGATCTAAAAAACAATTTCTGGTATTAGTGAATATTAGTACTATTCAACCTTCTTATATCACATATATACCTTCTTAAATTCGTAGACAGTCAAGTAGCAATATTGCACTTCACTTTAAAACTTCAAAAATATAATGCTAACTATCATACAAAAATGACTGATTTTAGCAAACACCAGGTACTACAAACACATTAGGAAAATAAATATATATACCATGCAAAAACCAGAAAAACATCAATACTAGTTCGAGCGACAGTGCCTGCTCTGTTACACTGTTACAGCACGGCAATTTCTAGAAGCTACTTACTTTCTTAAGTATTTATCCGATATCCACAACATGTATGTTAAATACATTGTGACTATCATTAAAATAATAACTTAGTTTTCTTGTCCAGAATAGGGATATCCCTACCAAAAACATCTACAGTCAGTTAATGCCTTAAAACTTCATTGTTGATCTATCCACAAACTGAAGAGGAGGTAGAATCTATCAACTAGGACTCCTCTGTCCAGGACTTCAGACAAAGCGACTTCAATGTCTCGGGGATCGCTTTGTTGTGAGTTAAATATTTATTTTATTTAATTTCACGGGTTTTTGGCAGTTTTTCTGTATGGTAGTGTGTACGATCACACTACTATCGTAGTGTGTACGATTTCACTGACTTGGAAGAGAACCAAATGGAAAACCAAATGGTTTAACAAGGATTATGTTACAAAGGTTAGGTTAGAGAGGTTATCGCCTCTCCAGGCCAAATTTTTGAGGGCATCACAATGGGCAACATATGCCTCCGAGTGAAAGTGCTGACAACGGTCAGCACGCGCCTTCCGAACCTAATCTAACCTATCCAAAAACTTATTTGACAATAATTGCTAGTGGAAAAAATTCAAAATTGACTTCTCCTTAAAGGATTAGCATGCAGTACCTTAATCTTAGATCACTTCAGACAGTCACTGTAATGCTTTGTTTAAAATAATAAGTAAATAAAGCAGTAATAAAATAAATTCGTGAAGATTAATTGCCATACTTAAGTTATATCTATATACCTAGATAATAATTGGCAATATTTGTCTGTTCTCACCGTTATTATAATGTACACTAAAGAAGATTAATAACAATTAAATATTGCAAATATTTTTCGACAATGTTCTTAATAATCTTACTAACAGTAAGCAATATATGATTTTCGTAGATATTGACCTGCGAATTTCAAACATATAAGATCGGACCACTAAACATAACGGCGGGTACTATTAAGAAATATTTTATCTTATTTCACTTAAGATAGAACACATGACAATTTTTTTAAACTGAAAAAACCTTTTCCACAAAGGGTTCTAGAAAATAATAGGAGTATATATTGAACATTTTTTTTATTAAGTTAAAGTTAAATACTCGTATAAATATAAATTAATTTAATTTCTAATATATATATTTTCCAATAATTATTTTTATTTTTAGAAGTTTTTATCAATCTTTACTTACAATTTCTTCCGCTTATGGGGCCATTAGCAACGTTATCAGTAGCTGAACTATTAACCAAGGCAACATCAGTCGCTGAACCATTCTTAACATTTTTTTGCAAAGCGACTGCTTTACGCGCATGCCGCGTCGTCAATACACCAGTCTCAACATCTCGTTCCAAGCGGTGACCTGATCGTGATCTAGTTAACTGCCTTTGCACATAGTCTTCCAAATCCTCTTCCTCCTTGCGACTAATAAGGCAATTCAAAATTAATAAAAATAAGCCAAGACCAAGTGAAAACAAACCAGTGCAGGTAACTTCGTTCCACCATGCCGAACTGGAGCCTATTTTCAAAACATATATAAAACTGCATTTTTATTAGAAATTAAAAATCTTACTGAAGACATTCCAGGACATTGTTTCATCGGGTATAATACCGGCACCACATAAAAATATACCAAACACTATAAACACAATACCAATATGAAGCATCCCTATGCTAGTGACAACCTGAAATTAGATTTCATATTTGATTAAAGGAAGGTAACTTTAGTCCGTAGACTTCATTAATAATATTTAATGTTAAAACAGTATTATTTTTCATCATTTAGTAATAATCGTGCTTGTCTAGAACTGGACACTCAAAAAAAAGTTAGCTTAGCTAATGATTTTGATATTCTTATAGCTCGACATATGTATTCCTCGTGTTCATACGAATATAAATTTGTGCCGTCGCATGAAAGTTTGAGATTTGCTTTCAAAGGTCTAGAAAATAATCCATTCTTAAAATGCAACTGGGACGTAAAATAAGTTATCTAAAACAATGTTATCTAAACACAAGAAATCATGCTGTAAAAGGGATGAAGAGACAAAGCACTTCAAAATAAATATATCAGAAAAAAGATAATGCTGTCCAAACAGATAGTATTTTAAATGATCACTCAATCAGCAATTCTGAATTGTACCGGCATTAGCTGGACAAAATGAATTATTTACTTAAACGGAAAAGACTTGAATTAATCATTAAAAAAGGTGTAGTATTCCCATACAGGTTTGGTAACTCGCCAGAAATTCCAACAATTTGGATGAGATCTACCGCAACACCCACTATATTCTTTAGAGTTACCTGTTATTTGTAAAAATTTTGGACGTTAAAAAATTTGTTTCGAATAAGGTAGTAAAGATATGAGACCACAATAAATAATACCTATATAATTCTATCAAATATTTATTCACTCTAAAGAAATCGTTTTATATTTATATAAAGCAAATATTTATGAAAAAAAAATATTGGATTAAAATTCATATTGGATCTTATATAAAACATGGGTTCACTTTAATATTCCTATTTTTTATTTGTTGTTTCAATTCTTTGTTTCAATCTTTCAATTTTCCTATTCTAATAGATATATAGAAGACGAAAATGTGAAAATGTGTTTGGTGAAAGTTCTAGCTAATATACCTGACTATCGAGCATGCCTGGTCCTGGTTTCGCTGCAGCATGTGTGTGATGATATTTTCGTCGAAATGAGCCGCTAGGTGAATGAAAAGTTTCACCACTTTCGGAACTTTGTGTACTGTAACGTCTTTCTCTTGCTCTTTTCTGCTCATCTCGTCTCTTGCGCTGACGTTTAATGGCCATCGCCGAATGTATGCCAACGGAATGCATTGTCACGCTGCAATTAGAAATTAAAAATTTATTAAATTAAACTTTTCATACAAAAAATATATAAAAAATCACTATCCTGTCCTATCCAAAGTGCTCATTTCCAGATCAAATAATTTGAAATCCAAATTTAAAACTAGATTTTTGATATAATTTGAAAGTTCTTAGAAAAATTGGTTTTTATTTAAAAGAAAAAATGTGTACATGAAACCTCTGAACTGAAAAGGATAATAAACAGAGTTTTTAAAATTTCAATCGAGTTCGACTGTGAAATAATCACAGTTTTATCGAAGTTTGAATAAATTTGACTAAACTACGATGCCCACTATTTATACTTTAAGCCTTGGCAATACTGATTGTTGTCAGATGTCATCTGACGTTTCCATATGAAAGTTTGACAACACAAGAGTGCATCGACCAGCTCCACCCTTTTCCACTGTGCAACGCTACTACAATGATTTTAGTCGGGGCCGAAGTTTGCTCACTGATGAAATTCGTATTCGTAAAGGTCGTCCAAAATCAGTTGTTGTGCTAGAAAATATTAATGCTGTGCAAAAACTGATAATACAAAATCGTCACTGGACATATCCGTACTCTGAGATTGAGGGAATTCTAAGCATTAGTTCCATCAGCATATATAAAATATCATATAGCCGTGAGAAGGTTTGTTCGCTTTGGATCCCATCCTGCATCATATGACAAAATCTCAAGAAGATGCTTGTTTCGATTGGTGGACGCAAATGCTCCAGAAGAACAGTGGCGATGTAAAAGAAGTATACAAGTATAAGATTGTAACAGGTGATGAATCATGGATATATGGGTATGAATCGGAACATAAACAGCAGTCGACTGTATAGGTGTTTTCAGATGAACCAAATCGAAGAAAAGTTGTTTGCGTTCGAAGCACTTCGAAACAAATGGTTGCTTGTTTTTACGGGAAAACTGGTCATGTGGCAACTATACAGTTACAATTTCAGAAACGTAAAACGGGGTCAATATCGAATATAATACAACCATTTGTTTACCGGAAGTCTTCAGTGAAATACGAAAATCAAACAAACGTCATCGGAACATTCTCCATCAAGACAATGCGAGTGCTCACACATCTCGTCTAACACCCGACTATTTGAACATTCGAAAAATCGAATTAATGTGTCTACACCATACGATCCTAATTTGGCACCTAATGACTTCTTCTTGTTCCCAAACATCAAGCGTAAGAATAAATTGCGTGGACAACGATTTTGGTTAGCTAACGGCGGAAGAAGCCATTAGTATATTCAAAAACCATGTTTTGGAGCTATCTAAAGAAGATTCGGAAAAATGCTTTGACAAATGGTTCAAACGCATGAAAAGGTGTATTAAACATAAAGGAGAATACTTCGAGGAACAATAAAGCGGTTTTCAACGACAAGTTAGTATTTTTTCATTATTAGGCTTAAAATATAAATAGTGATCCTCGTAGCACAATTTTCGATGGAATTTTTCACACTCCTCTAATTTAGTCGAAGTGTGCGAGTTGATATTTGACAGTTAAAATCAGCTTTAAAAATGTTTTCGTTTCAATTGAATTTAATTGTTTTTAATTACAACAACAAAATAATACAATTATTTTATTGTTTCAATAATAAAATAATCAATGAAATGAAACTTCACGGAATATTTCAACTTGAATAATTTTTAAATTGAATATAGTTTATTTTCTTAATTTTAAAAAAATTTATAATCTTTATTATGATCATCAGTATCAATACTCATTAACAAACCCTGATGTCCTTTTCGATTGGTAAATCTGTGGTAACTTTTTCAATTGAGATTCGCTTTTAATGTAATTTTCATTTTCGACTGATGAATCTCGAGCGAAATGTATAACACTCGAGATTAATTTACAACACTCTAGATATTTTGCCAGAGTAATAAAATTAACCTCAAATTAACAGCTGTTTTATGTGATTTGACAGATAAAGTGTAATTTGATTTAATATATTTATTTGTGAAAAATGTTAATATCTACTAACACGTCTAAAAAAATGTTAGATTACTCTAAAAAATTTTTGGTTGGACGACAAAATTTGGCAGATCGAGAATAAATCTTGACTGAATCTAGATTTACCAATCGAAAACGCCATAAAAAATCACAAGAACTATGTATTGTTTAACTAACTTTTAATCTATCTGCTACAGAAGTAGAGTATAAACACATGATTGTGTTAGCAGTTGAGGTTACTGTTTTTAGCTTTTGACTGATGTCCGTGCCCACTGCTGGTCAAAATCAAATTATTTTTATTTCAAAATATAACCACAGAAATAAACACGTTATAGTATAATATCTATGGCTGTTTATACTACACAAAATTTGTCTAATTTTATATGACTAAAATAAGAAAGACAGACTGATTATATTTCCAATTAAATGAGGTTGTAGGATATGTTGAATTTGTGTTAATAGGTCTACCCCTTTTTCTTTTCGGTACAAACAACACAACTCATACGACACTCAAACTCCACCACGAACTTTTCAACTGCACCCGTAAGTACTTCTAACCTACAACGACACTTACATTCACAACAAACAAATTGAACCTTCCTCTTAAAGGGAGACTTTTTTCCTATGCTGAAAGCTCCCTTCATAATTTATTCAAGCCCGGCGAGTTGTTTTCGATTAACTGCATGGGAATTTATCCACATTGTGTGTAGGATTTTCAGAGAAAATTTAATGAAAACGGCAAATTGGATTTGACGAAAATTAAATCTTCAAAAAACCGTTTTTACGTTTTACCTACAATTTTTGTGTGACAAGACGTTGTAGACTTCTATAGAGCTAAAGTGAAGTGTAGTAGTACAACCTCCATAAATTCGTTAAAATAATATAATTACTAGAAAGTGAACAGTAGTTAATTGCGGAAAATATTTTCAAATTTATTTACCCGAATATTAAAGAAACTGTGCTGTATGGTATTCTGGAATTCAAGGGGAGACTATAAAACAACTACATGTTGAACATTCATCGTTGACTTAAAGTATAACATTTTAGATTGTATATCTTATTAAAACATAGTGACATACCATAGTTTTCAAATCTAATGACCCTTTTGATTGGTAATTTTTCTATTCAATCTAGATTTACTCGATCTGTCAAATTTCGTTGCCCAACATTTTTAGTTAGTAAACATTCATATTTTTCACATATACGTATATCAAATCAAATCACACTTTATGGTATCTGTCAAATCATATAAAACAGCTGTTAATTTTATGTTAATTTTATTACTCTGGCAAAATATCTAGAGTGTTATAAATTAATCTCGAGTGTTATACATTTCGCTCGAGATTCATCAGTCGAAAATGAAAATTATACCAAAAGCGAATCTTGATTGAAAAAGTTACCCCAGACTTACCAATCGAAAACGCTATAATTTTTACATAAATTTTTTATAATAAATAAATTATATACATCAGTTCCTACCAAATTGTTGGTAATAGAAATGTTTGAATTTTGGAAAATCATACTTTGAAAAACTAAATGTAATACCAGAGTCTAACTAATGTAGACGCGAATAAATTTTCGCAGTTCCTGAATTGAGTAAATCATAAATAAATAGATAGGTAAATAGATAAATAGATAGGTTATATGACGACTTAAACACTCGACTAGTCACTAGAAATCAAAGATCAAACTGCAGAATTTCTATTGGTTTAAACGACCGTAAGATTCTATAAGCGATATTTATTCCACATAGGTGCCTATTCGAAAAACTTTAGAGGTTTTGGAAGCGATAGACAACGAAACATTTTGGTGAAATGGAGTGGATGTTTCAACAAGATTCTGCACGGTTACATATAGTACATAAAATATACAAAGTACGCACCAACCAATACTGACTATCGGCTCAAAAAAGGCTTACTCCGTAAATAGATAAAAACTGCACAGGTTCACATAGGTGCAATGTTTGGCCCGTCAACTAATACTAACAGAATTTTTTTTTTGATAAATCCTTACTCATCTATTTACTACCAATGTATGTGTTCAGTAAAATAGCTTACAGAGTTTAATAGCCTGAAGCAAAGTTCATAATCCAGTAAAGCACCGCACTTGATCTATAACACATATTTATCGTTACTAACTAACATAACTAATTAAATGCAATTTGCTTAGATTTATTTGAATCTAAAAAGTAGACAGAAAGATTCATAATTTCGTTATATTATGAATATGTAGATTAAATATATTTTGCAATCTATTTCTTAAACCTTAAAGGTTCATATTTCTTAAATGAACCTTTGAACCAACCAGGTATCTCTAAAACTAAGCAATATTGACGTAGAGCATTGTGAAAACAGTTGTTTAAAATAGTTGTCTCTATTAAAATCTGTTGTAAATTATTAAATTATATATTATTTTCTAAAGTAAAACAGATTAGAAGAGAGTGTAAGTTGAAACAACGGGAACTTGATCTCATAATACAATACTTATATGAAAATAGAACTTCAAAATAATTAGTAATATTTATTACTTTATATATGTTTTGTATTTTTAATATTGCTCCTTTAAATCATTTGTATGCAGTATATCTAGCACTATTTGTGTATATGTTCGAAACGTTGAACTTTGTTTTTTATGTTAGTTTTTTTTTTTCACTATAACAAGATCTTAACAGAGGAAATGAATCTGTACTCCATAGCCCTTTTTGCAAATATTTGGTGAAAAATGTTAACAGAGTGCTAGACCATAAGACCTACTTCTTACTTTTGTCGCAGAAACTTTGTTAATTAAAAAAAATTACCTCATTTTGGAATGAAGTAGAACCATTGCAACCGATGCAGCAGCGACCAGATCAGAACGTCACCATCAGTGATCTTCGGAACATGTCCGTGAACTACTATTTATATTTCCATGTAAGACATTTTAACGAGACTTTGTTCCATATTATATTTTTAGAGAATCATCGACAAGCGGCTGACTTTATAGTCTACAGAAATAGAGCTGTTGCGTGATCTCCTAGATCATTTCTTTTACCATCAGGGTACAAATTGATCTATGCGAAGAATTCAACTTTACTTGATCTAAAGCCATGGAAGCAGATATTAAGTGAATAAAGCTTTAATTATTTGAAAAACCAATTTTGAAATGTTTCCCTTGTGGTCAAATCACCCAAGTAATTTTTTATGATTAAAGCTATAAAATAATACATTAAATAAAATTAATTTGCTAAAATTGTATACGTTTTTTTGCGAAAAATCTATAAAAGTTCTATCATTTTTTTTTACAGAATACTGGCTGAAATAAGATATAAACTTTGTAGAAGATTTGTAGCTATAACCACATTGTGACTGACTTATGTCAAACAGAGGCATTAAATGTTTAGTGTAAATTTTGCCATTTCACAGTAAGGATCATTTAACAATCGCTGAACATGTTAAAATTGCTAAACACAGAACAGCAGCGTTGGGATGAAGCAATTTTACATCGAATTGTTTTCAGTGAAAATGAGCCACATTTTCGCTTTTTATAGACCAATGGTAATTTCTAAGTACCTATAGAAACACCTTTGCATCCACAAAAATTCTCAATATTAGGTGATTAGGTGAGACCTAATGTCTGGTGGTGTGATAAACCCATTCTTTTTTGAAAATAATGAAAGTGTGTTCAAACTATCGGTTTTGATCCTTACACCCAATAAATTAAGGTGTGAAAAAGGTATGTGATTACAATAGTTCGGTGTCATAAGCCACACTACACACCCCATTTTATTTAAGCTTTCATTTTAGTTATGTAAATTGACCTCTAAGATCACATGATTTATCAGGACTGATCAGGCCTTAGATGAATTGACCCAATATATCGTGTTTATATGAACAATCAATGCATTGAAACGTTTTATTTAACATCCGTCAAATTTAGGACAAGCTTATACTAGCTATGTGCCGCCACAATTAATCGAAAATAACTTCAAAATGGTCTAGTACTGTGAAATATTCTGTGGAAGCTATTTATATATATATATATATTTATATTTATATATTTATATTTATATACTATATATAAAAAAATTTAAATAAAATTTTATTCAGAATATTGTTTTATTTACAAACGCACTAGTCAAGCCCCACAAACTATTAAATCAAATCCTCACAGGAACTTAGATCTAGAAAGGAGAACCAGAAACTAGGGTAATAATTAGTGTAGTCACCAAAAAAATGCGGTGGAAAAGTGAAAGTCTAAACGCAGAAAGAAAATCACAAGAGCATGGCTTCAAATACTAATACAAAAGAGATTCTCCTCAAAATAATGCGAAAGCGGTTCCGAGGAGGAATAAGTCTCGCCGAAGATGGGTATTTTAGTCCGTATAGTACATATTAATGTTAGGGAGTGGGGCACACCATTCCGATGACGGTCAGTCGGACGGTGCGTAACGCATTCCACCTCCTCACTCCAAAAAAAAAAAAGTAGTAATAAGTGGAATATAAATTGTCTTTAACTATCATAATGTAGATGGATGGACCCGGAGGGTTTAAGTTAGTTGATGAATTTCGCAAACTATCGTAATCTGATGAGTGTTACACACTCATAGTTAATTATTTTTAACTATCATAATATAGTTATCACAATGAACCCCTAGAATCTCTGTGAGCTGTTCAACTATGTTACGTTAACTACCACTTTAACCTATAGTGAGTACCCCAAATTTGTATAACTAGCTTACCAAACAATGTTTGTACTACTGATTATGATAAAAATATGTAAAAGATGTACTTTTCTGTTGATAAAACTAACAAATACATTAAGTTTATGTTAATACCCAACTTCAGAACAAAGTGACATATATCAATGTCTACAAATATTTATTCATACACTTTCCTCAAATTTATTTTCCTGACATCGTTAAAGCGGTTTTATTTATTTGCCAAAACTGCAGGTGGTCAAAATAAGGAAAAATGTATCACCTTCTTTAACAGCCACATCCTCCTGCACACAAGTAGCATTAACTGGTCCTGTGGCGTATGCTGCGCTTTTTCACCCAAGCAACGTCACACAAGTACGTTGACCTACTTAGAAATTGCATTGAGAGATACTTCTCGTAGCATGCGATTTCACCACGCCCAACAAAACAAATTTGCTAGAAGGATAATCACAAATGCTTTAACAAATAATTGAGGACATAATAAGGATTAATGATAAGTATTGATAATTGAAGTTTGAGATATACAATAATCATGTACAATACAATTTTTTAGTATTCAATTTAGAAACATAAACATCTTTGAACTATTTTATACGAGTAGCTGTAATAATTGTCGATCTAATCACATTTATCAGTTTCTTTTTCCAACAATCCTGTGGAAAGTACATAGGTGCAGTACACTGAACCGGCAAGGATAATTGCACATCACAAAGGCACAAGGACTGCATAAAAAGTAACAAAACAGTTCAACTGTCATTACAGAGCGAATGCCTTTTGTTAGAACATTTTATCCCATAAAAGCGTCAATAGGTAATGGGTTGCCATTTTAATTTGTACACAATAAGCAAAGGATATTTATTATCCTATCTCCATTAAGTGAACGCTTCCACAGTCTGCACAAGTTTCCAAACTAATGCGGAAATAGCAACAACTAATAAAGAGCTTCACTGGTTCGCTGGTTCACTGGTAATATTCGTACAAAATAAAATGGAAAATATATGTTTGAAGTCAACACTATTGCCAGTACCTAAGGCCACCACCATTACCGGAATTTTTCATAATGTCAATTTCGCTGTTATTAAGGCTGGCGTGCTATTCGTGAAGGAAACTTGCCTGTCCCCGTTTGGAGGTAAATACGTTTCATGTTTCGTGGTTCGAGGTGCAAGGTGCGAGGTTCGAGGTTCGAGCTTCGAGGTAAGGGAAAGCAGATTTGACCGTAACTAAAAATATTTCAACAGGTTTTTGTGAATATTTTCTATTTGTGTTTAGTATTTTGACAAATGTACACATTGTATTTGCTTTGCAAAAATAATATCCATTAGTAGTGCAGGGTTAGCGAGCGATTGGGGTCTGTATTTACAAACAGCATTTGACATGATTTTACTGAATAGCACCAAATCAGAAAAAAAAACAAAGTGATATCCCACAAAGTTGCTCTAAAAAAATACCATATGTAATATACATGAGTGACTAATACTCGCACTGTTCCATTTCTTGGCAATGTCCAGTATGACACATGCGAAAAACGATTCTTACTACTTCCCATCTATTTCTACATATATATGTATGTATGCACAATCTAGGTAATAAAAAATATATATATATATGTATATTATGCTTATAAAACCAAGTAGCACAAATTAGGATAGACACTAGGGCGCTTCGCCTCACAAGGAGTAACAGGAGCTAATGATAATATATATCTACAGTAGAAAACTCCACATCTCCTAATATGTGTAGCTTATTCAATAGACTGCAACGGAGATTAAACGAATGCAGTGCAATTACTCTTATGTTAACTCTATGTTAGCACATAGACCAGCAGGTTTTAAGCTAAATATTCCCGGTTGGTTGGTAGAGCTGTGCACAGTCAAGTGAAATAAATTAATTTAGCTTTAAGTGTATGTAGAGACTAATTATAAGCAACAATAGAAACGACTCGAACAAATAGTTTAATATGTAACGTAAGCATCCGCATATGCTACCTTCAAGCCGTAGTGACTTATTTCCCAGTTAAGGGTTTCGCCTGCCCCATTTACCACAGAAAGTAAATGCATACATATATGCATATATATATATAAAAAAAAAATAATAGAACGACACTTGAATAAATTTTTAACTTACATTTTTTTTTGCGAGTTTTGTTGTACTTTTATCTATAGAAACATGTAGCTAAGTCCTACCGAGATTTGTTTCGCGCAACTTAACTCATAACGCAGTTTTGCTTAATTGTTTTTGTTAATTTCTCTTTTTTTTTTGTTTTTTTTTCGTCTTATATTATTTGTTAAAACTGATTTAAATGCAATAAATGCAACATTTTGTTGGTTGCGTTAAATTACTTGGAGCAGCATTGCAGCACTAAAAATGTCAACAGCACCGCTTACACTCGCCCAAACACCCGCACTGCAGCTGTACACTGTACACTGTACAGGTACGCAACGCAGAACAACAGAACAACCACAACAAGTGCAGGGCCAACAGAATCTTTTGTTTATTTATATCACTTCCCGAATTACCAACTAATGCCTCCTTCTGTCGGTTTTCAGCCCCACTTTAAGATAATATTACCGCGTAAGACGGCGAGGAAAATCTGGAACTATCGATTTTGTACCAATGTTGTTCTTTGTTGTTGCAGTTACTACTCCGTCACGTCGCTCACCACAAACTGGAGTACGGATTTTACGTTTATTTAAATATAATTTTTTTCTTCTTCTTTTTGGTATTATTTCCTAATGTTTTCTTTTACGCAAATCTACCCGTTCTACTCGTTCTACGCGTTCTACACTTCAACTATTTCACTACGAAAATGATATATTCTCTTATTTACTCGTATTTGTTTATGTTTTTAGCACATTTTTAAATGCAAAATATTTATATTTTTTATTTTATTTACAACAAAAGTAAATGCTGCTCTTTTCTACTATTACGAATGGATGTGTGTCAAACAGGAAAATTCCTATGACCGTCGCCAGTGAGAGGAAAACCATTCAACACTATAACACTTGTAAGCACAGGATTTGGTGAAAAGCTTTACCAGTCAATATTAAATTTTAAAAGCTCAGTCCAATTTTTTTTTTTTGTAATGAAAAAGCTTCCCAATATAATTTGCACAGACGATACGAAAAGTTCACATCCTTTGTTCGGAGAGTGATTCAATTTTTTTAAATGGTCTATAAATTTTTAATGGAAATATATATCCTGTATTTTCATCTAATATCCACGCCCATAAAACTTCTAATTTTTAAAGTTCAAGCAACTTTTCAAATTAATTTTTGACATACTCACTTAAAGGGGTTTGACATCCAAAATACTTTATAGAACCCTAAAAAATGATAATGTGAAATAACCAAATCTAAAGAATATGATGGACGTGGTAATATATCTCATCAAATTTTTGGAGAATTATCAAACATCTCCAAGGTCTCGCATGACATGGTATTGTGGTCAGAATAATTTGTGACTTACTTAAAGGTTTTAACATCCATGACACTTTATGGAGTCCAAAAAAAATTAATATGAAATAACCAAATCTGAAGAATATGATAGACGCGGTAATATACATTGTGACCGAAAAGTTTCCGGTCATAAATAAATAAAACGCAAAATTCTTAATCTTCATCAATATTTATTTTATCTCCTTCAAAATATGCTCCATTAGAAGCGATACACAAATGCCAACGTTTCTTACAATCATCAAAACATTTTTTATAGGCGCTTTCCGGTATGGCTTTGAGTTCCCTCTGCGAATTCTGTTTTACGTCTTCTATGGATTCAAAACGCGTTCCTCTGAGTGGTAATTTGAGGTTGGGAAACAGGAAAAAGTCACACGGTGCAAGATCAGGTGAATACGGTGGCTGTTCGATGGTATTTATTGAATGTTTGGCCTTAAAATCGTTGATAATGTTGAACAAATTGAGGTGAATCGGAACAAGCCGGGCGTTGACACGTCGCATACACAAATTGTCCACCAAAATCAAACGAGCCATCTCACGACCGATGCCTAGCTCTCGTGCTATCTCTCTAACACTCACATGAGGATTTTTGAACACGATTTCCTTTGCCTTTTCAATGTTTTCGTCGGTGGTAGAGGTCGAAGGTCGTCCAGAACGCGGCATGTCTTCGACGGTCGTACGACAGTCCTGAAAGGCTTTGTACCACTCATAAACTTGAGTTTTCGATAAAACTGATTCCCCATAAGCCTTTTGTAGCATTCGCAACGATTCTGCACACGAAATTTCGTTCGAAAAACAAAATTTGATGCAAACTCTTTGTTCAATATTTTTTTCCATTGTTTTTTTCGCAACGCACTACTGAGGTGAACTGGTTTCAACAGCTGCCGTAAACGAACTGTCCGACAGATCGCTCTCATTTTTTGCATAGTAATTAAGGACAGTGCTGCCAAACTACATAAACTTAAAATATCGAAAAATATACAGCGCGCGAATTTTAAATGAGAACCTCCGAAAACCTTTCGGTCACAATGTATTTCTTTAAATTTTTGGAGAGTTATCAAACATCCCTAAAGTCTCGCATGATATGGCATCATGGTCAAAGCAATTTGTAACTTAATAGTTTTGACATCCAAGATACTTTATAGAGTCCAAAAAAATGATAATGTGAATTAACCAAATCTAAGAATATGATAGACGTGGTAATATATCTAATGAAATTTCGGCGGTTATATGCGACATTGACTTGGCTGTATAGACTAACCTGTGTTATAACGGCAGCATATGACACGTTATTGAAAACTTTGTTTCTGGAGACAATAAAGTCAGCCGCCTGTTTTAATATTTCTTGATTCCTGCGATTTACATGGAAATATAAATCGCAGGGACATGTTTCCAATGACAGTGACGCTGACGTTCTGATTTTCTTCATTTTTGAGCAAGTACAGTTCATAAACAGTTTCAAACTGGTAGCTGTTGCATCGGAGGCAGTGTTTCTAGTCTATTTCAAATGAGGTAATTTTTTTAATTAACAAAGCTTCTGCGATAAAAATAAGAAATAGGTCTTATGGTCTAGCACTTTGTAAACATTTTCTACCAAATATTTGTAAAAAGGGCTATAGAGTACAGATTCATTTCCTCTGTTTAGATCTTGTTATAGTGAAAAAAAAATACTAACATAAAAAACAAAGTTCAACGTTTCGAACATATACACAAATAGTGCTAGATATACTGCATACAAAAGTTTTAAAAAAGCAATATTAAAAATACAAATTATATATAAAGTAATAAATATTACTAATTATTTTGAAGTTCTATTTTCATATAAGTATTATATTATGAGATCAAGTTCCCGTTGTTTCAACCTACACTCTCTTCTAATATGTTTTACTTTAGAAAACGATAAATGAGTTAATAATTTACAACAGATTTTAATAAAGACAACTATTTTAGGCAACTGTTTCCACAATGCTCTACGTCAATATTCCCTAGTTTTCAAGATATTTGACTTTATTTCAAGTTGCTTATTCTAATTAGTGAAAAAATTACGCCCTATGGCATATGTAGTTTTTGTAAGACATTAATGCAAGAAATTTTCAAATGTAAACTTACATATATCGAGAAATAAGGCATAATATATTGGCATATAACATAATAAAAAAAATTAATCCAATTAGTTGATTCTATTTACATAAATGCGGTGTAAAATTGAAGTGCCCCGAATAGAATTGTGCCAAATTATCGAAAATTGTTGAAATCAACCCGATACTTTGTCAAATAAATACAACACACCAATTAATTTAAAGAGGCTTGAAGCAATATTGGCATTAATGTCACTTTATATAATCCCAAAAAATGTGAAGTAACCAAACATAAAGAATATGGTAATATACCTCATCAAGTTTCTGCAGAGTTATCAAGAATCTTTGATATAACCATTATACCATCATATGGTATAATGATAAAAGTAATTTGTGACTCGGTTAAAGGTTTTGACATCCCAAACAGTCCAAGAAAATAATAATCTGATGTTACTTAATCGAAAATTTATGATAGAAGTGGTCAAATCAAAGAACTTTAAGGTTATGCATTATATTGTATCATGGTCGTCACACAGATATCATAATGTCAAATTCATATTATGTTCAAAATTCTGCATCTGACAATTACGGTTCAGCAATTATATACAGACCTTTAAAACCGTTCTAAAATGAACCATTCTAAAGACCACTGATAACTTGGCAATGCTCAAAACAATAATACAGTAGAGTCGACCAACATCAAATGAAACTTTAAATAAATCAAAATAGAAAGTCGCGCTTTCCATATTCCATAAAACTATGACACAAGACCAAATGTTGCCTCTAGCAAACTGTGCTGAATCATTCGTAAAAGTACATAGGATAGTTCAATTTATTTTTTTATTTATTATTAGAAGGGACACTACAAAGTTAACTACAACCTATTAGATCTGTTGTGCTTTTCTCGACAGATTAACAATGTCTGTCTCTTGATTCCAGACTACACTCGTTTCTTGGCAGAAACAATGCATGTCGGTATTCCTTGGTCCAAACTTTTTTATTTTATTCACGATTTGAATAAATTGTTTTAAATAAAATTGGTAGAACCTTTCCTGAACAACTTATAATTGATATTTAAAAGTACTGATGCAGTCCGACAATTGAATGTCCTACAAAAAAATTTCCAGATCTTATGAAAGAAGTTAGTACACCCTCCAGATCAACTCTGAACATCATCAAACCGATGGTTAACTGTTTGGAAACACAGTTTAAGTTTCAGGTTGAATGCAGAAAAAAAATTTTGTTTTTAATTTCGCTGTTAAAAAATTCAATATATTCAATATATTATATACCAACGAATACATTCTTTGAAGATTATTCTTAAGTCTTTTGAATTTTTCTTTACCACTATTTATTAATTTATTTATTATTTTTAACCAACAATTAAGTGAAAACGAGGAACTAATAGATCCGTAAAAATATTTACTAATCTCTCAGAGAGTGTACAACATTAACAAATTTACTTTTTGTTAATGTTAATGTCAATTAATCTATAAGTCTATAAGTTAACTACAGTTTTTCCTATTCATCATGGGCCCCAAAAAGCTAATCTACAGATCTGCATTCTTAAATTTATTGCAAAAAATTAATTCAAAGGTATTTTTATGTATTGGTAATTATCCAGAAATTTTAAGTTCGAGAACCCCACATATAGTGCTAAATAAATTATATTCTTTACTGCTATATGTATAAAGTTTCCAGTAGGTTGAGCAGTGAAGCATTTAGGTATATATCCATTACTCACAAAATCTGCTAAGAGTTCACAATGTAGTACAGAAGATATCCGTTTGTATGGTGCCTGTGGCAACACGAATTAATCTACAACTTTTACATAGCATGACTATATTCCACAGCTACTATGTCATATTAAACTGAAGAATCGTTACTATTTGTCCTCTTTTATAAATGCAGTATTATATTTATTCTATTATTTTAAACCGATAGAGAAGTTAAGAAATAATAAAATAAGATCAAAATGCAATTAGGTTGACAGATGTCATTCGACAAATTAATAGACATTCCTTACAAACCACTTTGAAAACGGCAGTGATACCAAAAATTTTGCAGTGATTAACAGCAATGTAATTAATGTAGAGTAAATCCAATCGGGAAACTTAAATGGATATAAGTAAGATGAGTTCACCTTCGATCACATATCAAATACTGACTTACAAATTTAAAATGGAAAAAATTAACCAATTTTATGTAAGGATGGAATATATAAGGAAGAGTGTTTTCAAAATTAACAAGATGAAGATTTTTACTGTTAACCGTTCGCTGGAAAAGAGACACTCTTGCAGTATAGAATCTGTACCGATCAAAAATGATTTAGAAATAATCTACAATATTACAAGATAGTTGGTGGTATGGAAATAGGTTCAGAATTCGACCTTTGATTGAAAACATTAAGTTCATCGACGGTAGATTATACTCTCGGTAATATGATATCTCTGGGTTCCCTCTCAAATTTAACCATATTTCATTAATAGCTACCGATTTATTCATGTATAGCCACATAAGACGAGTACTAGTAGACGAGTGTTATCATAACGAATAAATCTTATTTTGTTTATAATGAAAATTTTTAGACCTAACTGTGATATAAAAATACCACTTGGATTCCGAAATTGCGCTTGACACAGTTGTTAAAGTAGCATAGCACCGATTGGTAACAAAACTTTATAACGCCAGAATGTGCAGAAAGAAGTGGCCAAATGCATTTTTACTAGCAGTACCAATATTTTTAGCTAAAGACGTATTTCGATAGGTATATCAACCATTATCATCTTATAGTATAATGCATAAATAAAACCTACTAAGAAATCATCACTTATTTAGACATTAATGACGAATCACAAGCGAAACATTTTTGAAATTTCATTCTAGGGTCCAAATCTTCTATCACTTTTTCGAATAATTAAAGCTTTATTCATTTAATGTTTGCTTTCAATGTTGAGGTCAGTATTGATTTGTCCGCATAGACTAGTGTGTCCACTAATGTCAGCAAGTGACACTACTTAAGAAGTAACACAATAGCACTATTTCTGTAGACTATAAAGTCAGCCGCTTGTTTAAATAACTCGATGATTCTCTGAAAATATCATATGGAACAAAGTCTCGTTAAAATGTCATACATGGAAATATAATAGCGGACATCATTGATATGTTCCGAATGTCACTGATGGTGACGTTCTGATTTTCTTCATTTTTGAGCAAGTACAGTTCATAAACAGTTTTAAACTGGTAGCTGCTACATCGGTAGCAATAGAGTAGAACCCTACTCTATTCCAAACGAGGTAATTTTTTTGGTAAAAAAATTAATTTTAAATAAAAAATTTAAAATTTTTCAGAGATATACTATTACTTTTTGGTGTATACTATATACTATTATTGATAAAAATTAATCTGATATAAAGTGTTTTCATTATTTGCCAAACATTTTTTTATAAAGAGAGGGCTTTAGTGTACAGATTCGTTGTCCGCTGTTTAGATCTTGTTATAGTGAAAACAAAAATACTAACATAAAAAACAAAGTTCAACGTTTCGAACATATACATAAATAGTGCTAGATATACTGCATACAAATGATTTAAAGAAGCAATATTAAAAATACAAAACATATATAAAGTAATAAATATAACTAATTATTTTGAAGTTCTATTTTCATATAAGTATTGTATTATGAGATCAAGTTCCCGTTGTTTCAACCTACACTCTCTTCTAATATGTTTTACTTTAGAAAACGATATATAAATTAATAATTTACAACAGATTTTAATAAAGACAACTATTTTAAGCAACTGTTTCCACAATGCTCTACGTCAATATTCCCTAGTTTTCAAGATATTTGACTTTATTTCAAGTTGCTTATTCTAGTTAGTGTAAAAATTGCTTTTACTAATTGACTTTTACTAATCATTACTCATTTAATTGGAATAATATTTGTTTTTAAAATTGAAATATAAAAATTAACCCTTTCCTGCTTCATGGCTACATCCATGATCGCAACCATTAAAAATCGTAATATTGAATATAAACAAGTATTTAAATTGATGCCCGATACCATTCTATGGTATGGAATATCTCTCATTTAGATTAAATGGAATAAAATCTGAGCGCTATCGTACGATATGATTTACATACAACTGACGTTATTTGTTATATTAATAGCAAATATTTATTCTAGAGCATCAAATATCTGAGTATCCTGTCGAATGCGATATCCTGCTTTGTAAAAATCCTTATTAGCATTACCTTGTACTTGAAAAGCCTATTTTACTATTGTATTAATACCGATGTAATCAATTGTTAAAATTTTGTTAAATAAATATGTTAAAATTGTTAAGTATATATAAAATAATAAGTGTTGAGAAATTGAAATTAAGAATTATTTTTAATGATTTATATAATTAAAACATTTACCAGCCTATGGACTGACAGACGGATTTTCCACTAACGCAAACAAAAAAAACAGACTTCATTGAATCGGTTTATTAACTTCGAAAAACGAAATTTACAATATTCGCTTATTATCAAAAATAACCGAAGACAAGTATAACAATTTAAGAACTAAGCTATTATATAAATACCATATATACAAAATATACTTATATAATGTAGTCAGTACTGATAGGTTTGTCGAAATATATCTATTTTAATACATATATGAAAAGCATATAAAAATAAAGTTTTTTATATAATTTCAGATTATATCAAATACAAGATATATATAAAAAATATATACAACAAAAAGAAAAACAAAATTCAAAATAGTAAACAAAATATTTAAATATATAACTACTCATATAGTAAAAAAAGAAATATTTTCGACAAGCTGTCATGGCACGAGCACTTTAAAGTAATTTTAAATGCTTTATATAAACGCATTTAAAAAATAAATAATTCTTGTATAAATATTGCTATATTATAAATAATATATTATATATAAAATTGTCACAGTGGAGGTTTTATTTAGAATTTCAGACAAAATTCCGCCACCTTAAATAGCTGAGTAAAAAATAAATAAAGTCGACACAATGAACGCCTTATATAAAATTTTGAACAAATTTCCATCATCTTAAGTAGATGAATCTAAAAAACAAATAAAGTCCTCAGAACAGAAACTCTGTATAGCAGTTTAGCCGAACTTCATCATCTTTAATAAATGAATGTAAAAAATAAACAAAGTCGTCACAATGGAGACTTTATTTAGCATTTTAAACAAATTTTGTTACTTTCAATAGAGGGATGTAAAAAATAAATAAGGGTGTCAAAACGAAGACTATATATAGCATTTTAAACAAATTTCATATATAGCATTTAATATAAATATATATATAGAAATATAGCATTTTAAACAAATTTCATCTTCAATAGACGAATGTAAAAAAATAAATAAAGCCCTGAACAGTTAAGACTTTAGCTATATAGCTAGCTTTTTGGTAAAATTTTCGTTACCGTCAAATTGTCAAAAACACGAATATAAAAAATAGATATTCATTTTCATATTGAAAATTCTAAAATCGGCGACACAGTTAGTTTGTGTTACTTTTGGTAAAAATATTCCTTACGCTAAATAATAAAATTTAAAAAATAAATCGCTATTGCTATATATCACGAACGTACAAAATAAATTCTTAAGCTACTTTGCAATAATAAATTCTCTGGCGAATTCTCCGACACTGTCGTAGTTTAGAATATACTCCTTGACCTGTTTTAGCTTTTTAATATAAGTTGTGTGAATTTTTGCTCGCTTATTTTTATATTTCACGTCATTGATCAATTTCGCTGCGACATAAGATAGCCAAAAAATATTAGTTTTAGGTTTATAAACATCCCACTCGTTTCTATATTATAAAAAAAAAAAAAACAAAATTAATATATTAATGACAAAATGCATTATTATTACATGTTTATTATATCTTACTTTAGCTCTGTCTTCATCATACGATAAATATCAAACTGATAATCGCCTGTTGCTTCGAATAGTTCGTCGTCTTTAGAGATATCATTATAATAAACATAATTACCATATGTCATACGTGAAAGCGTATAGTCAATAATAGATGCTTTAATGCCTTTACTAGGCAACGTCACAAGTTCACCATTTAATTTGTATTGAAAATGTTTTTCTGTAGTTTTTTTTATCAAAATATTTCCCCAATGCAAATCACGATGTTCGAATTGAAACACTTCCTCAGCAACAGCCAAAGATATTGCCAACTAATATATAGAAAAATAATATTTTAATTAATAAATAATGTATAAAATAGTTAACATTTATTATTATTTATTGAAATTTCAACTCTTTACATAGTCTGTAAATTCTATGCATAGAATGACATTTAGAATAAAGCATCAAATATTATTCACACTACTCAGCAGTGTAAGTATTTGGATGGGTATGATTCGTACATTTGGCTTGAGCACAGCGGACCGTTTGAAAACGGACGTAGAACCGTACATTTTGGAAACTATTTGCACTTAAATAAAATCTTTAAATACATATGTAAACATGGTATGCAGTATATTTAAAGTCGAGTTAATTGAGCAGACAAACTTTCTCACAAGAAAAATCTTTTAATTTTTTAACGATATTGCAGTAAGTTAAGTTATTGAGCAATTTAAATTTACTCAAACATCACAATGTTCAAATAAACTTATAAATGTGATTTAAAAAACTTAATTGACTGTTAATAAAAACCCGCTTACTCTGGTCATCAAGTACTTCAACAACTTTTACCATAGCCACAAAAATATTATAAATAAATATAATAAGTAAGAGTGACCACATCTGTTTGCGAACACACTCCATACTTTGTTCTCTGATATCTGCAATGGTAAGGAATGACGTTGCGTGAGATACGTATTCATAAAAATAATTTTAGAATGTGTACTATAGGTTCCAACATGATCGATAAAGTTGAATTAACCATATATTTCGAATAGTAATTAAATAATTAGTTCAGATACAATCAATGCTATATCTATGTACTATTAAAGCACTATAAAAAAGTTTTTGACAGCTTAAGCAAAAAATGTGTATGGACTGAGCTCAAAACCAAACATTAGTAGAATACTCTCTTTTTTGTGGGATAATTCTCGACTGCACTGCTCTCTATAGCTTTTAATTTTTTTTACTGTTATACACACAGTAAGTAATGCACATAGGAAAATAAGCCATAGGCTCTACTACGACTCATTGTGCTCTAGCTAAATGAGAACTCGCACATCAAAATCTTTGAAGCTTTAAGTAGTTTGAATAACATTCGAAACACTTAAAACAAATGCTTGAAAATATAAGTTAATATAAGTTAATATAATTTAATATAAATTACTTGTTGAAATATATAGTATGATTGTTCAGCATTTGTAAATTCAAATTTTTCTAAATCTTGACCACCATATTCTAATTCCAATACAATATATAGTTGTGTATTTGTGAATATGGCTGGATGATCATTTTCAGACGTTTTTTCCTCATCATATGCTTCCCAAAGGTTAACTAAATGTGTTGGATATTTCCCTTTGACGCAAGTAACCTTTAATTTCAAACAAAATTAACATATTCATATTTTGATTCATTTGAATTACATACTCTGTTTATTTTAACGAATCCAATCGTTGAATTAGGATTTTCTATACTATCTAAATTACTTAACTCCATTGTAATTACTATTTCGGGCAAAATTTGTTCAAACGTTTTTTGAACTTCGCCATTTACTGCTATTTCACCATCAATGGGAATTATTTTCATTACCGTACCATAAGCATCGTCTGCGTTGTCAATATTGTTGATAAATACTTCACCGTAAGCACCTTCTCCAATCTTCCGACAATTTTCCAATAAATCTTCATTATATAATTTATTGAATTGCTTTGGTACACGCTGCTGACACCGTGCCAGTACTTGTTTTTGACATTCTTTGTAACTTACGGCTTCAATGTCTGCTTCTGATTTTATATACATAGATTTACGGTTTCCAATTCGCATGGATACGTTACAAATCTCTACAGATTCTTCAGCAATAACATAAATATTAGAAGTTTTTGGTTTACCATCTGAATAATTATCAAAACAAACACTTTAATAAAATTAAGATATTAACATTTAAATCACAAAATTTATTTACTTTGTAGATTTTGAGTACGGCGCCACGCGTTAAGCGATTTTCTCCATTTCCCAGTTTTCATTAACGAACTTATAGATTGTGTTGAAGATCTACATCTTAAAATAGTGTCATCTGCAGTTATTTCGGAACAAACATGTTGACTTGTTTCATTTGTTTCCTTATGTGGTATTGGTAATAATGAATGTTTCTCTTTTTCAAGAGCATCATTTTGATTAGTCAATACTACATCGCTTACATCTTCTTCAGCTCTTTGGGAATTTATTAATATCTCTATATTACATAGTTTATCGAAATGATTTGATGTACGCTGCCCTAACATATCTTTATCGTTTTCTTTAGAATTATTAATAAGTACACCACTTTTGGATTCACACTCTTTTGCTGGATTTACATACTTTGACTTACGTTTTCCAATTTGCACAGATGGAGCACAAAACTCTAAAGTACTTTTTGATTTGCCATCTAAAAATTGATCAAAACAAATACTTTAATTAGAGTATAAATATATAATTGATAATTACATTACATACTTTTTGAGTTTTCGGAACGGCGGCTCACACTGATCGGCTTCTTTGCTTTGTCAGGTTTAACTATTGTATTATTAGCTCGTGATGCGTTTTTATAGGAGACTGGTGCACTCGAGCGCATAATTTTTGAAGAATTTGTTTTATCCAGAATTGATTGAAAACGGATACGTCGCTGTTTCTCTCTTGTTTCTTTATTAGGAATTGGTAATAATGAGAGTTCCTTTTCCTTCACATATTGTACTGATAAATTTTCGTCAGAACGTAGTGAATTATTTTCTGAAAAACAATGCATAGCATGTTATTTCATTGCAATTAGAATATGAATTTTTTTACCGTACCTTCCACAATCATTTCCGGTTTGTTTGGTGTGCCGTGCGAAAATTGAACATTTGAGTTATCGTTATTTGTTTGTAAGTTATCAAAAAAGCGATATTGCCAAGCGCCGATTGGAGACAACGAACATATAAATGGATTAAAGGCACGAATTTTTGTTAACGGCGTAGATATGGAACTATTGCAATTTGAGGTAACTACGAGCGTCTGCTTTTGCGGCAAATCTGTCATATCACAATTATCCACGATGGAATTCTCTACGCTAGAATCAATGTTTAACGAAGCGTGTACATCTTTTTTAAGTACATTCAAATCACGTAAAACACTAAAACAAGACTTGTTTAAAGTATGTATGGAAATGGTAAATTACAATTAAAAAACTTACGGTCTTGCTTTTAGCAATTTATCAAAGGAGTCCATCCAAATATCATCTTCTAGAGTATCTTCTAGACTTATTTCTTTTAATTCATTTGTCATTGTAGCTTAAGTTTAAAATTTTTTGTAGTGTCTTTAAATTCTCATCAAAAATATTAATTGCACTTGCAATATTCCAAAAATTCAATCCATATAGCATAAAATATATTCGAGTACAAGTCCGTACGTTCGTTTTTAAAAATATTATTTGTATTGCCATAACATGGTTGCCATAGTTGTTTATTTTACGAACATAAGGTAAACCTAGAGTTTACACAAGCTCACAAATATTTTGTGTGACAAAGTATTTATTTGAGGGTAGGTCTGCTCCACGAGAGGTACTCGTAGTAAAACTCGAATAATACGGCGTTCACATTATGAGATAAAAATAGATTAAAGCAAAAATCAAGATTAAGGTACTAATCTCGTCGTTTAATCAAAGATTGTCCATACAAAAGTTAATATCTTTTTGGTAGAGATTAATTCTTAATCTCCTTAGAAATGCTGATTATTTTTCTATGCAACTCTGTAAATGGCTTAATATCGTAAATTTTTTTACGATCTTAGAAAAATTAGAAAAGAAATGTGAAAATCTATTCAAAACAAACATTGAAAATTTAAAAATGCCGAAATGAGTAAATTTTCAAAAAATTTGTTTAATAATAGTTTTGTACAAAATTATGACTAAAATTTGTTAAATTATTGCTACAAAACACTTTAGTAAATTATTTATTACAATTTTTTTATACAAAATTTTAATTAAATGATTTTTTACAGAAATTTATCAAACACACGAAACACAACTCATCAAGAGAAACGTTAAAATTAATCTTCAATGTATAATGTAAACGGTGAAGATTTAAAATGCAGATTAACTTAATCTCGTGTTCTTAATCTCACAATGTAAACGTAGTATAAAAAAACTAAAATACCAACTAAGAGCATAAGACAAATAAAATGCCAGTGTACACAAATTTTCATGAAACAGCTTTATGAAAAGTTTGGTCAGAACAGCTGTTTTTTGAAACACAAATTGTTTCTTAATTGTTTTTTAATACCTTTTCTGTGTGTTATATTTAATTAATTTAATCTGTTCTAAATTTTTAATCCTAAATTTTGTTATTTTTTAATTTAATTTGTTTTTTCTCTTTCTATCTTTTATTTAATAATTTGTTAAATGTTATTTATTGTTTACATATTATTTATCTCTTTTTTGTTCGTTTTTAAGTTAGTTCTAAGATACTGCAGCAAATGGATTTTTTTTATTTAAAGCATTTTTTAAAGTAAATAAATAAATAAAGCAGTAATAGAAGTTGAAAAAGAACAGCGCGAAATAAATTTTGAAAAACAAAGAAAGTTTTATAATAATACATATAAATATTTTTAAATAGTTTTTATTTTAATAAAGTGAGTTTAAATTCTGTTTTTAGTTAGAGTTAAGCATGGCATAGACGATGCTACATGTATGCAAACCAAGTATGCCGTGCTACCAAATCGAAGTGTGTATATATATATAAATCAAAGTGTGTATATGTATAGAAGGAGCATAGGGCGGCAAGTATACATACCAAAATTCGATCTACAGACATACCATATATACGGTAAAATTACACCTGTATTTAAAATTGTAAATTGTATTTACACATTACACAATGAGTAAAACCGCCTAAATGAGACAGTGTGAATGTGCTATAACTAACTTAAGTAAGCACTGGAAACAATATACATTAAGACCGAAAAGTTTTCGGAAATTCTCATTTAAAATTCGCGCGCTGTATATTTTTCGATATTTTAAGTTTATGTAGTTTGGCAGCAATTAAGGACAATTACTATGCAAAAAATGAGCGCGATCTGTCAGACAGTTCGTTTACGGCAGCTGTTGAAACCAGTTCACCTCAGTAGTGCGTTGCGAAAAAAACAATGGAAAAAAAAATTAAACAAAGAGTTTGCATCAAATTTTTTGTTTCTAACGAAATTTCGTGTGCAGAATCTTTGCGAATGCTACAAAAGGCTTATGGGGAATCAGTTTTATCGAAAACTCAAGTTTATGAGTGGTACAAAGCCTTTCAGGACGGTCGTACGACCGTCTAAGACATTTCGCAACGCACTACTGAGGTGAACTGGTTTCAACAGCTGCCGTAAACGAACTGTCTGACAGATCGCGCTCATTTTTGGCATAGTAATTAAGGAAAGTGCTGCCAAACTACATAAACTTAAAATATCGAAAAATATACAGCGCGCGAATTTTAAATGAGAATTTCCGAAAACTTTTCAGTCTTAATGTATAACTTATAATAAAAAATATAATTTGATGCTCTTTTTATGGCTGTGTGCGAGTTCGAGTAAATTGATGGTACATTGAGGAAAATAGGAAATCATGTCGGTATGGCAGCGAATGTTGGAGTAGGGTAAATTAGATAAAAATTAAATAAATTAGGTATTACCACTGTGAAAATTTTATATTTGTTTAATAAATGAATAAATACATTCGCAAACTTTTAACCAAAAATAATAAATAAGTACAATATATAAATAAATAAATATTTACATAAGTGCAGTGCAAAAAATTCCGAGGAAATTTCAATTTATTTTACCCCAATTTACTCGAACTCGCACACGGCCTATATACATAAATACATATTTAATATTTATTTTATAAATATGATGCAACCATATTTGCTTCATATTTTGGCATTTGTTGTTGAGAACGTGACATGAGACAAATAACCTTGTGACCGTATTAATAGAAATTTCTCCTATTTTCAATTTTTTAATTTACATTAAAAACAACAACAATTTCAAATTTGACGTTACCATTTGACGTTACTCTCTGTATTATATGATTTTGAACTAAAAACCTGTTCACATTAACAATCATAATTTTAAATTAATTTTGTTTCACATTATTTTCTTAATTTTATGGCAATAGGCCGATTTACATTATCATGAACGTAACATGAACTTGAAAACCGGTTACTTATAGATGAGACAGGGAAGAGAGCGTGATGTGAGTTCATATGCAATGTTATGTTTATATTTACCTTTTAATACTGAATACTCTCAATTTTTGTGCTCTGCACTACTAAACACAAGCATTTCATACGTTTACACAAAACATAACAAATTTCACGATCATGAGAGTTTATATTAGTGTGAACTGAACTGACAGTTCATGTTGTCGTCAAGTTCATCTCACGCTCATGATAGTGTAAATAGGCGCATTTGTTTTGATTTTTTGATTGCTTGTTTATGTTTATATATTGTTTCATGTGTCAAATATGTCAAATTTCGATCATTTCCAATGTTGCATTCGTCATATTTGGTATAATTTTGGTCGAATTTTGTTTACTATATTTTATAGTAAATTAAAAAGCACGGAAGCTCTTTGTATGGTTAATGCAATTTACTCAGTAAATGAAGCTTACTAAGTACGTAGTGGAAACATACTATAAATTACTGAACATAATTATTTATTAATGTTCTTGCACTTAATATGCTTTGAAATGTAGTGGCAACGCTCTGAACATATGATCATGATATGATTTTTGATTGCATAATTGTGATCTTGCACTGTCGACAGTGGCTGGTTCTGAAATTCGTGGGTCTGTGATATAAAAATGAATAAAATTGCAAAATCTCTACTCAATAATGTTATTAAATCCAATACTCCTGTGTTGTCACGAAGTCATTTTACCTACTATCCCGACAAAGTGGCAACTAATGGGTCCGCTACAGAACGTCAAAAGATGAACATGTTCCAAGCCATAAACAACGCAATGGATTTGGCGCTACAAGAAGACTCATCTGCTATACTCTTCGGTGAGGATGTAGGATTTGGTGGTGTGTTTCGATGCTCCATAAACTTACGGGATAAGTACGGGAAAGAGCGCGTTTTCAACACACCACTATGTGAGCAAGGCATCGCTGGGTTTGCAATTGGAGTTGCTAATGCTGGATCAACGGCTATTGCAGAAATTCAATTTGCCGATTATATATTTCCTGCTTTTGATCAAATTGTGAACGAAGCAGCAAAATATAGATATCGTAGTGGAGGTATTTATGATTGCGGTTCACTAACATTCCGTGTACCATGCGGTGCCGTAGGCCATGGTGCTTTATATCACTCCCAAAGTCCTGAAGCATACTTTGCACATACACCTGGTCTTAAAGTTGTTATACCACGAGGACCAATCAAAGCAAAAGGCTTGTTACTGTCTTGTATACGTGATCCAAATCCATGTATAGTTTTTGAACCGAAAACTCTTTATAGAGCTGCCGTTGAAGAGGTGCCTGTAGGCAATTACACTTCTGATTTAGGTAAAGCTGATGTGTTGCGTCAAGGTAGCGATATAACATTGATTGGTTGGGGTACACAAGTTCACGTATTGCTTGAGGTAAGCAAATCTTACTTATTCCAGAGCATATGACACGGTCATCGTTTCTTCATACTTTACTGATCATATACACTTAAAATATAATTATTTATCGCAACTAAAAAAATGCTTTCAAGAATATCATTCCATAGTCTGGGTTCTTTTTCACTTACATTACCCGATCATACAATCTAAACCTCATAAAAAGACAATTTCAAAGCCAGCAGTTTCATTCTAGTGCTTACTTATGATATCTATTTTCCTTGAAGTAGCTCCACACTTTACCTTATTTAGCACTTTGCTACTTTGTTAAATATTGTTCTAATAAATATATTTATTCTATTAGTAAGAGAAGTGCATCAGCTTACCTACCATATATTTTTTTTTTTATAAATTCCATTGCTATTTACAATCATCATTCAGTAACTCCTCTGTACATTATGTGACAAAATCTCTTATTGTAATATTCTTCCAGGTTGCCGACTTAGCCAAACAGCAATTAAATATCAACTGTGAAGTTATCGATTTAGTTTCTATACTGCCTTGGGATAAGGAAACAGTTATAAAGGTTAGTTTATAATTTCTATTTTGGTTGAATAAGTTCAGAAGTTAGTTTCATGAATTTTTTAGTCGGTGAAGAAAACTGGCCGTGTTGTTGTAGCGCATGAAGCTCCACTTACACAAGGCTTTGGTTCCGAGTTAGCAGCGTCAATACAGGAGAATTGCTTCCTACACCTGGAAGCACCAGTTAAACGTGTGACCGGTTGGGATACTCCGTTCCCCCATGTATTCGAACCGTTTTACTTGCCTAACAAATATCGTTGTTTAACAGCAATTAAGGAAGTAGTCAATTATTAACTGAGCAAGACGGACCATAGATCATAGAAGCCACTTAGCATGACTACCATATATTGCATATTTCATATATGCACACTTTTGATGCAATTTTCGAGATTGCAGTGTTTTTGACTTTTAAGTAACGAATGCATTTATTTACGAAATTTTATTGGTTTAAGTTATATTTAAAGATTTTGGAAATTTTTTAACTAAAATCTATTAACATAAAATTGAAAAAACTATTCAACAAAAATATAAAAGTCTAGTTATAAAACACATATCTTTTTCTTTTTTCTAAATTAGTCAAACCATTAATAAATCATTAATATTATATAACATTCATAAAAGATACTTATTCATAACAAATGCCAATTAACAAATTCTTACATTACACATGATATCTTTTGAGATTTTTTTGTTTTGTTTAGATATACAAGTAGTATAGAAATATATTATTTTTGGTTTATAATTTGGAATATACTTTCTCTTTAATGGACCCTGAAGTCCTATCACGTAAGTTGTACAATTATGCATAAGATACAATTTAATATTTTAACATAACGTTGTATTTGTTTTTAACTATATTATAGGATTTGGAAGTCACATTAATTAAAATTTGTAGTCGGATTCTTAGTGCGTCCGATGATTTTACGGTACTTTATGTTTATTAGAAAATGGAATCCGGAATAAAAATTAACGTAAATATAATCAACAATAGCTCACATAAAATCCTTTTCTATGCTCTTTATTTATCACGTTTTTGTTTACTATAAATACAAAGGAAAATATTTCGATCAGTTTAAATGCAATGTTTTTACATACCAAGTGTGAAACAAAGTGTGCATGCATTCATGAATACATAAATAAATAAATTTATGAATTAACAGGACAAAGTTTTTTAAAATAAAATGAATTTTTGTTTTTTGTTTGGAGCTATTACTTTTTAGCCAATGCCAGACCGAGACTTATAATGCCGCCTAGTACAAGAACTGCACCTCCAGCAACTACCATTCCCTTTGTCATTTCCTTGTCAGATTGCTTTTTGATGTGCTCCTGAAAATAAAAACCAACAAACGTTATTATTTATAGTTTATAAATATTATATTATATTATATTATATTTGATGCTTAATATGTATATTTATATTCTGCTTTAAAAGCTAAAGACTACATTTGACTGACTGAGCAACATCTACTTGCATGCCACACAGATAGTCAACCTAAGAGCAACATGTTCAGTGGAGCCCTGCTCTCAACATGTATACATCGACACCTATTGTAATGGAACACACATCAGTGAGATCGAATAGAAACGTGGCATAACAGTCCTACACACAGATGCAGTTTTCTCTTTCAGATCACCAAGTTCTCATAGCACCCAAGAGTATATTTGCGGGCAAGAATTGTTATAGAAGTCATTTTGGTTGCATGAAAACAGGGTTTCGTCGATTGTTGCATTTTATGGAACAACAGAGAACATTTTCAATAAAAAATTTAATTGAGCGTACACAAAATGACGAAATTCATAATGAATTCATTCAGTATATGTATTCTAAGGAGGAAGATATAATAAATGCTCAATATCTCAAAGTGGATAACAGACGGATAATCATTAGTTTTAAAAATAAAAATAAAGCGTTATCATATGTTAAAATCGCATTACCAACGACATTTTGAATGAAATATGTTCCACTTTTATTTTGTACATACATTTCACATTGAACCAGAATGTGAACCAGTTCAATTGCTGGTTCAACCCATTTTTATTTTTTTGCATGTAAATTGAGCGGATCATTGTTTGCTAAAAGCCACCTATTGTATATACATTCTGCTTAAAAATTATTCGGATTTTGTTTGTTTGTTAACTACTCCTTAAGTAATAGACCTTTTTTTGTTATCTTGGTTCACCCTTTCTTGACATATGGTTAATGTGGTTAATGTGAGACTACCTCAAGTGCAAACACGGCACCACTGTTATCGCTCAGGCACCATATTCACCCGATCTGGATCCGTGTGAAACTCCTGTTCCCGAAACTCAAATTGCCCCTTCGAGGTAAGCGTTTTGAGTCGATTGAATCGGTAAAACAGAAGAAACTAAAAGCCATACCTTCACGGGCCTACGAAAAGTGTATGGAAGATTGGGTTAAGCGTTGGTATATGTGTATCGCTTCAGAAGAAGATAAAAGAAATTTGGAATAAAATTTAAATTTGTGTGTTTTATATACAAAATCCGGGCACTTTTTGAGCTGGAGATAGACCGGAATAAACCTATATCAATCATTATCGCTAATTCAAAGATAATATATATATTTATTGTAATTAATTCGTAATTCACTTGATAATAAGAGCAGCTAACTTGTTATTTATGACGTGGAGTTCAAAGTGAAGAGAGTACACAATATACTATAAAGGGTTCTACTTTACTGATATATGAAATTAACTTGATATAAACTTACTTTTTTATAGTAAGTCTTGTTTATTTTGGAATATATCTTGACTAAAATATATATAAATAAAATTTGTGTTGTAAAGTTATATGAGTTTAAAGAGAATTGCGGTTTCATAAGTATGTTGTTGCAGTCCGCTGACACCTGTTTGTGTAGTACCTTTTGTGAGTACTGAACGGCACGACAATTGGCTCCGGAACGAGAACTTGTGCGTTCTTGGAACTAGTCAATTAGCGCAATGTAGACATTTTATGATTGCTCTCAAAAAGCACTTCAAACAGTGTTTAATTCTTTGAATTACAAATGATGAGTACTTGGCATTACTCAAAACAGCTTTATGATTAGCCAAAAATAATTTTGTTTCTTTGTAATTTACTACTTAAAAACTCTTCTATTGGACTTTAATATGGAATTTCCAAACCATATTTTCTTATCAATGCAGAATTGTGTATTGCGATTTTAATCTATGCATATTATATATATAAACATATATATATGTAAATATATACTATATCCACGTAATGCAATGTACTGCATATACATAATCTAATACATAATTTAAGTATTTTTTTTTGTTTTTGGTTTAATTACCTCTAATGAACGAACTTGATCATTGGATTCGATTTCAAGGAAAGCACGACAATATTTTAGTCCTTCAGTGTAGTTCTTTATTCTAGCATTGCCAAAAGCCAAATAATAAATGTAGTCCCGTTTACCTTCAGGATGGGTGCGAGCTAAATCTTCCAAAATCATTATTCCCTTTAAAGAATTTTTTTAAAAATATGTAATTAATTTTTAAGCTAAAATAATTTCACAACAAACTGATGATTCATTTGCTTATTTACCTTACGCACATCATTTGAGTATCTGCTCCGTACCAAGCAGAGAGCGTACTCAAATTTGGATTCAGTTGTTGCCTCACCATCCAACTCCAATTCCTGATGATATTTCTTCTCGAATTTCTTCAAAGAAAATTTAGTTGTAAAAAATAATTCACATACATATGCACGTATATTCATATTTATACAATCAATTTGAATTACTTACTTCCAGCTCATCCTGAGGTACAATGTCATTTAGCAGCTCTTCCATTGTGTCAACAAATAAAATTTTTTAAAATTTATGACAAAAACCTTACACAAAATGAATTTTAAGAGCAAATTGTTTGAACAAATATATTTCCAAATGATTTAAGATATTTTTCTAGCAACAAACTACGCAAGCATATGAGGCGAAACGAACTTTTGACGAAGTTGAATGCGGAATGGAATGAGAAATTTTTTCGCCGCAAACTTTTTTTAAATAAATATTTCTATAGATATAATTTTATGTTTTAGTCAAACTAATGATATATGTATTATTTTATTATATCAAAGAAATTGTTTTCAAAAAAAAAAAAATGCAACATTGATTATAAAAAAATTATTTTATTATTTAATTTTACAAATTAAGTGCCCTAACAATCCTCAAGTCCACTTCTGGATTCTCCGGAAGATATGCTGATTTAAGGTCCGCCATCAATTAAAAGACAAATAAATAATTTCTTAGCATAGTTAAAGCCTAGTGTGGGGTAGTCATAAGCCCTTATAGAGTAATAGAGTGCGTAATAGCACTAACTCAAGAACAAGAAGAAGAAGAAGAATGCAAAAATGAAAAATTTTCAAAATTTGGATTCTTATTTCAAAAAAGTGGACCATCAGACTGTCACAATGTTTATAATTGTAAATAAATCTTTCTATTATATAATATTTTAATATATTATCACAGAAAAATTTCTGAAAACTCCAAATATTTAGTTTTTAATATATGAGTAAACTTTAATAATTTAAGTTATTGAAACGTCTCTAGCATAGTTTTATATGAATTATATATGAAAATAGTACATATTACTGCATATTTGTAAAGTTAAGTTATAATAATTTAACAGCACATTCACATTGTCTCATTTAATGCTCAGTTAGACGGTAGGTAACGTAAGAAATTAATTTAAAGTGAAATTTACAACCAACCAAACCTGCGTATTTTATAGGAACGAAATAAACAAAAACGGTGTACTTTGTTTATTTCGCTCCTATCAAATACGCAGGTTTGGTTGGTTGTGCATTTCGCTTCAAATTAATTTCTTACGTTACCTACAGTCTAATTGAGCCTTTAGGCGGTTTTGCCCATTACAACCAGTAATGAGTATAACTTTTATGTGTCAAATAATTTAAGTTGTAGAGCTTTTCTTTGTTTACATTTCAATTGTAAGCAAATGACATAATTTAGCATGGAAAATACATGAAATGCAAATAATTTATTGCATAATGTTTATGATATTGTTCACAATATGAATGCAGCAGTTGTTGCATATAAAAAAGAATGTGCAGTGAATTATAAAAAATTACTAACAATTTAAAAACAATAAATAACAGTGATATTAAATAGATACTTGATACTTAAACTCATTTATATATATTTTTATATATCAATTACACCCAACTCTTTTTTTACACGGCAGATACGTTCCTCAGAAATCCGGGTAAAAAAAAACCGTGTAAAAATATGCCAAGTGTCAAACAAGATAGTGATTTTGAGACCGTACTAGATTGTTTTTCAACCGTGTAACTTCAAATCCGTGTAAAAAGAAACCGTGTAAAAAAAGATTTGGGTGTATACGTTTTATTTATAAAAAACAAATATTTTAGAGAATTCTTTATATTTTGTTTGTTTTGATTTGTTGATTTCTTCTTTATGTTAATATATTTTTTCATGTGTCATAGATGAGATTAATCAGCAAAACCGTCTAAATGAGACAGTGTGAATGTTGATGTGTTTTATATATAAGTTATTATATAAAATAAAGATAAACAACCTACTAATACTTTTTTATTTAGGTTCATACAAGCCATTAATAAAACAACATAAATAATACTTACTTAATTTTAAATTTACATATAAGATTTGATGCTAAATAACACATTGCAGCAAACTGAAACTTCATTTAGCGTGAACACAAACCTTTACGCACAGCGTTTCAAGTTCATTGCGTTTCATTTCTTAATGCAGGTTTATCAACAACCCCATAGAATAATAAATTAAGGATATATGAAATAATTTGAAGAACACTTAAAAAAATTTTAATTTATTTTTTGATGTGTGTTAAATAGGCTTAATATTTTATTTTTCTTAAAATAATTACAAAAGAGGCAACACAACACTGTAAAGGAGTTTCTATACTACTTTCCATTGAAGCTTAAAAACAAATCTCAGCGGTGCAAACATAACTAGACTATCGTACCAGACCAAAGGAAGCTACTTAAAATTGCTACTAAAGACTAAACTCACAGGCTCTGTGCTTAAGTCCTAAGAATGTATGTCGGAAATTAACTACGGTCCGAAGGAAGGATTTATAAGAATTCAAAAACAATTTTTCGGACTGTTTTTATTAGACATGGACTTAAAAAGAGTTTGCTTTTTATTATCGATAAATCGATCTAGAGAGGAAGATATCAACAAAAAATTAATTAGTTGTTGAAACGTGGTAATATTGGATGCTGACAGCGAGGAAATTATTTTTTGCAAGGGATCTTTGAATTTTTAGATATATGCGGTCAACAATACATATACATAATAATATTATTTATTTTTATTATTGACATGTTCTAACATTAAATCAAAGGTTTAAATTAAGAACTTAGTCAATTTAACTCATTAAATGTGTTATTCGTTTCCTTATTAACGATTCTACACCATGTCATCCTGGGGCGTTCTTTGTTTCTTGCACATTGGAGGTTCCATTGTAGAGCTACATGTACTAATTCATTTGCGATCTTCCGAAGGGTGTGCCCAATCTAATTGTATTTTCTGCGAATTATTTCTTTCTCAATAGAGATTTGTTTAGATATTTGCCACAAACGAGTGTTAGTTATCTTACGTGGCCACCAAATACCGACAATATGTCGTAAACATCTATTTGCAAATGTTTGTAGTTTACGAATCGGTTCTTGTTTTACGTGTCATGTTTCGCTGTTGTAGATTAGCACTGACTTGACGCAGGAAGTAAATATTTGAATTTTGGTTTCTCGTTTTATTGTTTTATGGGTATGGTCAACCCACGAAAGAGCGGAGAAGGTACCAGCAGTCTTCGATATTCTTCTTTTTTTTCCCTCAATGACTTCCATGGACACTCCGTATATTTTCAACTGATAGCTGTTACGTGAGTTCAGGCATATATATTTAGTCTTTGCGGTGTAAATTTGAAGGCCAAGTTTCGCAGAGTCGCTAGCTACGGTCATAAGTCTCTCTTGCATCTCAATATATGTGTTCCTAAATAGAACCACATCATCAGAATAGACTAGATCACCTAGTTTTCTCGTCATCTTCCAATAAATACCCGTTTCATTGAAATTCTCGTATACTAGGTCGAGTGCCGTAATAAAAAGTAGAAATGAGAATACGCAGTCTTGATATAGTCACACCTGATACAATCCAAAACTCGCTGAGCTGCCTATTGTGTAAAACCCGATATGAAGAGTCATTGTACATATTTATGAAGACATATTGTACATATTGTATTGTACATATTGTAACTTCATCAATTAATCTCTAATAAATTGGTTGGTATTCCGACGACATGTGCGATAACGTTCATGGAGAAGAAGATACCACTGTAGGGTTTAGTTTTTTAGCAGTACAATGTTATGTCTAATATTAACAACAATAACAACAAAATGATAGATTTCACCATGGTCTGCCTGCAGTCCTGATCTTGACATTATTGCAAATGTGTAGAAAACACTGGGCAAGTGGGTTAGAAAACAACTTTCAAACATTGAATAACCTAAAAAATTTTAGGTTATAAAAATGTCGGCATTAAAGATTTTTAATGCATTTAATGCATTGGACATTTAATTAATGGTAAATCGTGTAAACCAGATCTTAGTTAGTAGAAGATTAAACCATAGACGCTATCTATGGAGATACTATAGATGCGGTCGTGACCTCTGCCCATTTCCTTAATGTTGAAGAAACTTTATCGTTGGTGAAACCACATCGAGTTATCATATTTCGTTAAGCGATGATTTTTTTATAATTTCCAATATAGAAGGCCAAGTATACCTAGAATGCATCGATAAGCGCACTTTAATATTTCACAGTGAAGCCCAATCTTTTGCAGTTGTGATTATATAGTATTTCTAAAAAAGGTTCTAAAATCAACGTGCGCTGTTATTTCGTGTGATCTATATTTGATGTAGGTCTTCAGTTATTTCATAGTTAGATAAGAAATGAAGTATAAAAAGGATAATATTATATATTTCAGCTATATTACAGTTTTAGTTCCAATATTATTGATATAATCCTAAAATGAGACAAAAACGGTGTGTGGCAACAGCCCAGAGAATTAGGTTAGACAGTTAGGATATAGTCCTGACGATATAAGAATATTTATTGGGTATTCTCTGATACTTCATTATATTTTAAATATCTAAAGTAAATGCTAGTACTCTTAATTAAATTTGTTTAAAGAACAAATATAACTTATTAAAATATTTTTATTGAAAAATTTTTAAAAGACTTACCTTAAAGTACATTTTATTTTCATAAATTTAAAACAAAAATTTTTGATTGATTTATTTTATTTTAATTTTTAGTTTTAACAAAGTTTATTATTAAATTGTTGCTTTATATATACATATCTATGAGCTCCATTTATATATTTATGTTATGTATTTATGTTTTGCTGATATTTTAGTGATTTTGATGTACCTTCTGCTCAAAAAGTACTCGGATTTTGTAAATAAAACACACAAATTTAAATTTTATTCCAAATTTATTCTTCATCAAAATATGCTCATTCTGAAGCGATACACATATGCCAACGCTTAACCCAATCTTCCATACACTTTTCGTAGCCCCGTGAAGGTATGGCCTTTAGTTCCTTCGGCGAATTCTCTTTTACCAATTCAATCGACTTAAAACGCTTACAACTAAGGGGCAATTTAAGCTTCGGGAACACATACCCCTCATGCTATTAAAAGAAACTAATTCACAAATTATAGCCGGAATATAAACTAATTAAAATGATAGATATTCGAATATGTAGGACTACTGAGGATAAGGACTACGTGACAATACTCGAAATTCAATGAACTAAAATTTTTGTGTTTATATTTTGTTTGCTATTCGAATCCCTCTAAATAAAAAAAAGCGTATTTTATACAATAATGATTACAAAGTTACGTTATTTGATTTCTATTAGACATTGACAACTGACGCCTGACAGAATTTTGAAATATAGGTCGTACCACGTTTTAAAACAATTGTTTTTCTT